GTCAGGCCTTGAGTCTTCTCGAGTGGTCTCTGAGAGCCTTGCTAGCACAAGAGTCTGTTCTAATCTAGGGTTTAGGGTTTAGGATCTACAGTAGGGTCGGAAGTTAAAGATTTAGGATCTAGTTTTTGTTTTTAGGATCTAGGGTTTGGGGTTTAGGGTTCAGGGTAACGGGGGCTCAGGATTTCACATGTTGTCCAACTATTATTTGGAAACTTTGTGCAGGATGTTAAGACAACCTCTCTCATGCAAAATGTCTAGGATTTGGGGATCATGTAGAAGGTCCCAAAGTCTTATGGATCAATTTCGCACGAGCCTTTATATTTGCGGCCACGCTGCCAGTTGTTGATTTCATGGGCTTCCCAGGTAAGTTTTTGAAAGTATGCAAAGTTTAGACTTGGGTTCTAAGGTTTTCAGGGGTTGGAAAGGTTTAAGGATTTTTCCATGTATGACCCCGTTGTCAGAAGGTCAGTCTAGTTTTGTAAGAACCTCCCAAATGAATCTGGAAGAGGTAAGTTCGCCCAAAGACATCAGAACTCATGTATCGATTCGACCAATCATGTACTTGATGTGCCGGTCTCAACTCCTTGCGGCCGAAATCCCAACAGCATCCCGTAAGAAAAGTCTCATATCTTCCTTTCGAGCAACTGCGGCAGCGTTCTGCTCGGCGCTTCCCTCATCTTTTCCCTGAGCGACGAGTCCTGGCAGTTTGATAATTTAAAGCCAACCTTCTTGTCTCTTTGCTTGTAGCCATCGAAGTCCAAACTGTCCAGCCACAGTCTCCTGGTTGAGCACGGGCCGCAGGAATGGTAACCGCAAAGCCTGCTAGCGAGAGAGGTTCGCAAGGCTTTACGAGGGCACTGCTCTGGACTGGGGCTCTAGTACCCAAGCTTTGGAGTCCAGAGTCCGCATGACAGCCCTCAAACGTTACCATTGACGTTGAGACAGCTCAAGACTTTCTAAGTTGGGATGAAAGTGACAGCATGCACAGGTTGTTGGTAGAGCCTCGCCTCTCGGAAGTTCAGCTCAAAGTCCTTGCCTTCCGTGGAGGCCTCCCATTTCTTACAACTATCTCGTCAGTCCATGTACTGCACTGGCTTTGTCCGAACCGTGTGGTTGCTGGAACCACTGCAGAGGATTGCAATAATTATACACGTTGCATGCATAGAGAGTTTTCATCTGCCTGACCTTGGCAATGTCCCACTCCGAAGGCATCGGAATGCGCACAACTTGCACCAGTAGCCTGACAGCGTGCTGGTCTGGATGGGGAGACAACATTTTCTCATTTCTCGAACTTTGCCAGTGTTGTGGTATATCCCACGGCCAAGAAGCTTGGTCGTGATGGCCTGTGCAAGCTGCAGGGCATGCATGGCAAACCATATCCTCAGTGTCAACGGCCACGCTTTCTTTAACAAGCTGAAGCTTTGTTTTTTAAGACGGCCTGTTTGAAAAATGCATACATGGATGGAGGCAGCAAAGTGCTGCCAGCAAAGTGCTGCCTGTGCCATCATGGCCCCACATGACTAAACCCGCAAGCACCGGCAGTGTGTCTGCGTCCAGGCATCGACGTCATCAGAAAAAAGAAGGACGTCAGGAGAGTCATTCCCCTTAGTGGCAAGATCCGCATCTGATTTTGCACAGGACCGTGCCGAAAACTGAGCTTCAAAGTCAGTCCCCTGCTTGCCAGACAAGTGTAGCTCTGGACTGCAGCAGCAATCACTTGCCCCAATCCTGCCCTGGTTTTCATCGAACATCAAATCCACCGAGGCCGGAGGCTTGGGCATTTAGATCATGATTCGGCCTGCGGCTCTTTTTTGTCGGTTTGGCAGGGGGGTGGGGGGTGGGGGGTGGGGGGTGGGCGGTGGGGGTTGGGGGGGGGGGGCTGGACTGTTTGGTCGGGTTCCGCACACTGGATTTGTGCGAGGCCCAAAACTATGGGGCTGGGGAAGGCGGAGAAAAAAGGGAGGAGCGAGGAGGGGGGGCGGGTGCCACGGAGGCTGGGGGAGTGTTGCTGTTTTCAGTGGGCAGAACAGGTTTGGAAGGGGGTTGGTGGGTCTGTAGCTCTCCTCTACCCTTGCCGAGGCGGTCCCGCGTGAGCGGTTAGATTACGTCTACCAAGCAGGACATGTCAAAAACATCTACAATCCTAAACCTGACTGCTGAAGCCAGGGCACAGAAGCACAGCGAGCTGCTCTTCCTGATACGTCCGCTCTGAAAAGCCATCGTCTGTACGATCGAAGTTAAAATAAAGCGCAACCTGGGCTTCAGGCGGAACATCCTCAACACAAAGTCAAAGTCGCTAGAACTACTACTTGCATTCATTAGCGATCTTGTTCTTCGTCCTTCTTACCTTCTCTGGGTACTAGTATTATACCCGCAAAGAGTTGATTCTCACGTCTGTTCTTGCTCTAGACTATGAGCCCGGGGCATGCTACGAAAGTGTAGCTTCCTGGCTCTCAAAGTGCAACAGACTCAGCCAAGTTGCAATGAACCCAACCTGGCAACAGGACAGTGACTGTCAACTTGATGCTAGCAGAAGTAACGGTGATAGTGACAGAGCTGACTACGCTCCTAACAGTTGGAAAATTTCAAGTCACACTCATACACTGACAGAGATAGAGAGAACCGCAAAAGAAGCGCTAGCAGTCCATCTCGCAGGAAAGCAAATGCTTGAATCCGCACATGGCCTTCAGGGTATTGACGATCAAAAGGTTCGCCACCTGGCTCAGTTTGACCCCATGCACATCGAATGCTAGATTCCAAACTAAATTAGATTCTCATGTACTATAGACCCTAATTGTTTGAAAATCCCCGCATGAAGCTGAAGCCTCCGTGCCTTGTCAGTCGTCAACGCCGCCAGGTCACGGATATCTTCTCGAAAAAGGGCAAAGCCTGCAACGCACAGCTAGGCCACGCTACCCTGCTTTGCCGCCCAGCTGGCACTTTGCATTGCCATCGCAGATCACTCGAGAAAACCGAAGCATATGGCAAAAGGTCGGGATCCCGTTGGGCTTACGCGAGCGTGGATGGCCGACTGGCAGGGGCCCAGCGCGATAGCCAAAGAAAACCGCGTCTAGGGACAATCTGGACTCTGCGGCTATGCGCTGCCGGGTTTGTTGCGAACTACCCCAAAGGACTGAGAATCAGCTCGGCTACATCCTGTCCATCCTCTCCTCCAGCCTGAGCCTCTTCCATGGAAAACTTGTTGGATAGCCAAACGCGAGATCACCAATGCACTTCTAGCAAAAGGAAGGCAAAGGCTAGCAAGATTAGACGATCGAACTCGGAGCCCAACCCAGGAATGAGTTCCCGGAAAAGTGCCCAGGAAATCCCAGCAAATGGGGGTTTCGCAACACTGCAAAGTTTCACATATGACGAACTCCCAGAGGTTCAGGCGCTGGTGTGCTCTGCAGGATACCCTTGACAGGCAGATTCGCCTTTTCAATTCACAATTGGCTCTGAATTCAACAGAAGCTCAATCCAACCGAAGACGAGCAACGTGCTAAGTTCACGTTCTGCACTTGGAATTCGCGGGCTTGCCGCAAAGGAACATCAAACATGTAATTCCTGAGATGGCAAGCAAGGTCTGGGTTTCTGGATGAGTGTGCTTCTTGATCACGATTACGTAGCCGGGCTGCGATAATCTTCTTGTCCCTGCTTGGCGTTACTCAAATAATCTCTGGAGATCGCAATCTGTAACTGCGTGGTGGCTCAGGATCTGTGTTTGACTTCAGTTCATGCTCTCTGCGCTTTGGGCTTTAGACTTTAGATTACAGGGACTCTCTTAAAATGTCTGAAATTTCTGCTAGGATACCAGAATACCAATAACAAGCCTTTCAGCCCTCACATGCCCTCACATGGTATGTGCCTTTGAACCCCATCAGTGCTCAGGAATCCCTACAACAACTTGTGAACCAAGTCTTGAAAATGTGAAAAACCCTCTGACACAAGTCAGTTACATCTTGATGCATTCCAGCATCTCCCGATTGTACTGCCATATCGTCTGGCCCACACCACCCAGCGCTGCAGCGCTGAGCAGCCCGGAGATTGGCATGGCTGTCAACAATCCGGCTGCAAAACCCTATGTAAAACGAACAAGGTATCAAGGCTAAGACAATCGTAAGTTGCTTGAGCCCAAGCTGTCTACAATCTAAATTCTAAAATGGCGCCTGGGCTGAAGATTACAAGCCCTTGTTAGGGGACTAGAATGTCTGATTGTCTGCATTCCGTTGACATTGGATCTTGACTAGAGTCGGGATTCTGTTCGGGTTGAACCTCATGAAGAACCCATTACAAATGCCCTGCACTCTATGTCTCCGCACACTACTATTTGAGAAACTTCAGTGGCTGCGATATTTGGTCTGTCACTCAGCCTTAGCAAGGGTGAATGACAAGCTTCAATGAAACGCTTGAAAAAAAAGGCCGTGCTAATAGATCTTAATCTCGACTCCATGAATCCATCCTCCTGGAGGCCGGTAACATTCAAATGATTGCTCTCCCACTTTTGCGCGTGAACGAATGACTTGGGCAGAGGCAGGAATCAAGAAGGAGCGACACGAGCACAAGGACACTGCTAGCATTGTTGGAACGACACATCGCATGTTATGGGCGCTGAAACCAAAACATTGACGAAGCTGGAAGGACAGTGTTTCAGTCCGCATCGCAGAAGTGGCAAGCTCGTCCTCGCAAAGACCCAGATCTCCCTAGAACCCTCTCATGTCCCGAAAATATGGCCAAATGACCCCTGCCATCAAGCCCTAGGCAACCCACAATCCGGGCGTGGTCCCGACATCCTGTGTCATGTGCATGCAAATGGATAAGTGGCGTCTACACAGGTGTACTAGAGATCCTCTTGAAAAATGAGTTCCTAAGAGTGGAACTACCCACAACTTTGAGAAGCCCTGCGCTTTGTCATGTATCCCTTACGCTCTGCGCACCACATCCCTGAATACCTGGCAGAGTCCCTGCATCGCTACATAGCCAGGTCCCTCCGTGGCCCAGGCCGAGCTGCTTCAGAGCAGAATAGCCCTGATGCGGCTTTGTCTCCTCAATGGATTTACAACGGCGTGGCTCAAAATTACCGCCCTTTTGGGCTGGATTCTACAGGGGTGATAGGAATGACTGAAAAAACAACAAAGACCATGCGGGTCACTCAACAGTCCACTGCATGGCTGTCTTTTCAAGGACCTGCAAGAAGAGACCCAAGTTGCTTCCAAAATACCGTTCTTACATGAAAGCAAAAAGGGGCTTAGGTTTTACAGTTGGGGCCTTGAACTTTCAAGTTTCCGGTTGCGGGTCTCAGGCTTAACGGACCAGTGCGGTTGCGACAGGTCCTGGCATCGCCCGTTTCGACTGCTTGGGGCTCTTACAACTTAGCATCAAAGGAACCTGAGAGATCAAGTCAGGGACATCGCGGATCTTAAGTCAAAGCGGTTGCGCGACGCTGTTTGCAAGAGTGTTGACAAAAATGTGTCTATCTATACATGCGTGTCTGCTTACGTGTTTGACAGCGCACCCTGGCATTGCTCTTAAAATGGCATCAAGTGCTTCATACATGCTTGTAAATGCTGTGAAATGAGGTCTTCATCTATAATAAAGATTCCAAAGCAGAAGAGTCTCTCGTCTTCTGCCTTGTGGATCAACCCTGTATTCTATGGGCTCTAATGTTCAAAAAGCTAACGCACACCAGAAAAGCTAATCTCTATCTCTGAACTCTTGAACATGAAACTCCAAGATCTCCCAAACGTGCAACAAAATCTGAGCAAGTACGTTTGCAGATGCCCGAGATTGGGGCAGCATCATGCGACAACACTGCGGTGTACATAATAATTGCCATCTTCTGCGTCTGTAGGTCATAGACTGGCTGCGCCATTAGCAGAAGTTGAATGCCTTTCTACACTTGAGCTACAGTCAATATTTCCCATATCTAACGGACGTGGGTCATGGGTTTCTTATTATGGAATATATTGTGGAATATGTTAGAGACTTAACTACTCAACTACAAAAGGTCCCTCGATAAGGCTCAAACTGACAGAAGCTCATGTGTTCTTCCTTTCCTCAGTCCTGGTATGCACGGTAGCAATGGTTCCAGAAGCCCCAAGCCAGTCGCGGATCACCCAAGGCCTGTGGCAATTTGTTACGCGCAGCTCCTCAAAATTGTGGTCCTGCTTGAACCTAATTTGGGGGTTTCCCAAAATTGGGGGGAGCAGTTCTGAATTTCTTTTAGAGAGATTAGGAAATGTGGTTGACAGAACATGGAGAGGTCTCGGTCCTGTTGAGGTTTTGCTGGCGCGGTGCAGAAAACCTCAATAACAAGCATCTTCTACGCGCAGAGAGGCAAGGATAGAGAGTTAACGGTCGATGATCGTCTAGAGTCTAGGCGGGTGCTTAAGACTTTAAACAAGGTTTCGGGTTCCAGTAAGATTTAGGGTTTCTTCTGGTCCAGCGCCCAAGTCCTGAAAGGTTTCGGAAGGTTTCGCAAATAGTTGCAAAGTGGTATTTAGAAGTCCTTGAATGGGAGGTGCTGGAGAGGTCCTGGAGAGGTCCTGGAAATCTAACAACCCCACTTGAAGCGCGGGGAATAACCTCTTGAAAACCCTGGCTGGACGTTCTAGGGCCAGTCAGACAGAATTTATTGGGTTTGGCATGCGGAGCCTCACATGTGACACCTTACTTAGAAACAGAAGCAGGAAGGACACCCACTGAAGCTCTACACTCACAAAACCTTACAGCTAAAAAATATGGAAAACTCTAACAAAATAGAAATTGCCAGACTGCCCTCTCCAGCAACGCTAGCGTATGAGCTATAGTCTACACTCCTAGCATCCGCCTTAGTAAGCCCTATAGTGGTCCCCTATATAATCCCATACGCCACCCCCGTAAGGAGTTTCTATTATAGCTCATATGAGAAGGACTGCAAATACTGCGGCCCAACCTCGTCAAACCATCTTGGCTCGCAAATCTCCTACGCTTTCAGGAGGTTACCCATCATGGGTGCTGTCTTGGTAGGCAACGTAAGCATTAGGAGGGACTACTATCATTGGATGAGAGAAGGGTATCTGTAAACCAATTAGTGGTTTTGGGGACCCATACAATGTAGATCGCATTGTTTCGGGATTCACTCAGAGGCCAGTTTTACATGGATGCCCTGATAAGGCCTCAGCCGCAAGACGAAGGACGATAACAACAGCTGTCCTTACGGCTATCAAGAAACCTTGCGAATGATGAGCTGGTTATCCGAAAATGACAAGGAGGGCCACATCAATAGCAGTGGATAGCAGCACAACACCAGTGTGACTTCTGCTTGGGACTGCAAGTCGCATCGGGCTGACACGTAGGTTGCACCCTTACATCTTGCAGGTGCCCATGCCCACAGCCACCGTGTCCTCATAGGCCAATCCAACTGCCTCCAAGCCATCCCAGACCCCTGCAGCAGGGTGTGCAAAACTCTCTCCAGACGAAGTTCTCACAATGTCTAGTGGGCCCCCTACATCATCTAAAACCACATGTACCCCAGTACCCCAACCTATGCTCTGCCTTTCTTGCCACCGCGGAAAGTCCCCAGACCAGAGTCCACTCCCATCCCGGCCTTAGCGAGCCAATCATATGGACCCTATCACAAGCCCCCATCAAAATCAATCCCTGCATCATAGCATTTGCAGCGTCCTACTTGTCCCATGACAGCTGCAATTCATTGCAGCGCGCTCAGTACAGCACACCGCTGCCGATGAGCAGCGCATCGGCATTGGCAATCCACTCGGCAGCCTGGAAACAAAATCGTCACGAATACCTTCTTGTTGCGAATCCATGCGCACGCCTGCGAAGAACAAAATTCGAGCAACAGAGCGACCTGGGCCAAGGAATGAACGATCTCCTCCTTGCTCATGGACGCATTTGCCTTCGATCCGCGATCGTAAACAACGACACTACTACAAATAGCATGTACACGTGCATGGAGCTGCCCTTGGGAAGTAAAGGTGTTGGGCGTTGAAGATCCCAGTGGCCAGAAGGCGCTCGTCGGGGATGGAGCAGTTCTTCGGCCGCAGCACACCCCCACTCATGACAAACCTGTCACAGGCGGAAGACACAACTCCAATGGGCAAGCCTTGTTCTTGAATAGATGGGCAGACTTCCAAGCAAGAGACGTCACCAACCACTGAGGCAATATCTGGATTATGCAGGTGAGGGGATTACAAAGGGTGTCTCTTAAGCACTTGATGGACATGCTTAAGATGAACTACCACGTGCGAACCTGTCGAAGTCGCTGGGCTCCAGACACCTCCAGCTGCTGGCGCGTCCAGTACTTGACTTCCAAGGGCAGCTGCAAACCTGCACATTAAACAAAGCACGGCAAATAAAGCTGCTTTCTAACTTTACAAGGAGCAGCCCTGCGTTCAGGCATAAAGGCAAATGCTTTCGAGCGGGCAGACGACTTCGGTCATTTGCCCATGAGCAGTCTCACGTGCCAGATGCCAGCATTAAGTGGCTCCAATCTGTACACGGTGGGTCATTTAGTTCATCCAGTTAGGACTCGCTTTTAAAGCGAATGTCTCTGTATCTGTTCAATGGGTCATCTGGTGCAGAGCAAGCAATCTGCAACAGAGTCGTCCCACTGCTGGCTGCGGCTTGGCATTGAAGCTGCAGGATCCGCCGGCATGCTTGGTGGCCCCGGTGCACTCATGCGCACCTTCCGCGGCTGGCCCAGCGGCCTCTCCTCACTAGGGAAAGACAATGGAGTATCGGGACTGCGTGTTGGTGGCAACTTTGGACGCCCAACAGCGCGCTGGCGAATGAAGTCCAGCTCACGACTTTGAGCTGCCGCTTGCGATTTCAAAGCCTGCAGCTCTTTGCGGAGACCTTCCTGACCTTGCACCAGGTCAAGCACGTGACGTTCGAGCTCTCGAAGGTTTTCCTCCTTGGGATTTCCAGTGACATTTCGCCTTCGGGCTGCTGGGCTCTTGACGAACTCGAAATTGCTCTCCATTGCTGGCAGTGCCGGCATGAAGGTCGGTGTCGTCAGTGGAATGGGCTTGGGAACTGGAAGTGGGTCAGGCGCGAATAGCGGGGCTGGCTGTGCTGGGTGGGCTGAGCCGGCATTCCAAAGCAGTCCCTTAGGATCAGGGCATTGGGACCCAGACAGGTCCGGCTTGAAGAACTGAAAGGACGGGTACTGGAAGGAAGGGTACTGGGGAGCTACGCTGCGAGGAGTTGGTCTGCCTGTTGATGGCAGGGAGGCCGCTCGGCGCCGAGGTCCAGTCACGGGCTCCAATATCATCTCGAAAAAACCTCCCTAGTGTGATTAAAATGTACTCATGTTAAAGGCCTGTGTAACTGATGGCAACGACAACTGCCGAACTTTGTGACATTCTACGACTGCCTCGCCTCCTACTGAAGTCCAAACTTTGGGTCTCGAGTAGTTCTGGGTGTTCCTCCTGCAACAGGACACAACACGCCCAACGCCACCGGGACAACTGAATCTTCTTCTATCCAGAAGAGCTCTTAATTTGAACCATATGTCGACAGCGAGTCTTCAATGTTCGCATCAACATTGAACACACCAAAAAGTCATAGACAGCACACGGAAGCCCGCAGATGCAGCTCCAAGGTGGCACCTTTCTTGCTCCGGACGGTTCACTGCTCAGTCTAAGTGGGTCTCTACAAGCTGGCAGCTCACCTGTCTCACAGAATGGAAGCAATGCCTTTGAGTCTCTACTACGCTCAGCAAGCACAGGGGCCGTGCACCCGGGGAAACAATGCGGATGTCCCCAACTGGGCGCAAAGCACCAAAGCACGTGGAGCTGAAGGGTTTGGCTCGTCCCAGGCTCCACGGCCTGTGTGGAGGCACCGCAGGGCTACTCCTGCTTGGAGAGTGCCCGGCAATCTTCAGCTTGCCCTTTCATGCACCGCAGAGGTAGAAGATAATTTCTCTCCACCCCGCTGGGCAGGCAACCGTGAAAGCCCGCTGCACAAAACCAAAAACTTGCGGTAGCCATGTAGACTGTAGACTATCATCATGTCTTCGTGGAGCTTGGGCTTTCCGAAGATGCTCCTGCTCAGGGAACTACGGCTGTTTGTCTCAATTAAATCAGCGGGCAGCAGGTTGTTCTGGCTGTTCGCAACATGCCGTTGGCATGGGCAAAACGCCACTGAATCTAACTGAAGCTGACGTGCTCTTGTAGTGTTTTGTGAGCTGAAGGCTTCTGTTGCCCATGCAGCCGGAACTGGAACCACTGATCTGCCAAGTTGTAAGATGCTCCAAGCTGCGACGGTGCTTCCGCACTAGATTGGACAGTACGGGAAGTTGTCTGCACAACACCCCACTAAAGGATATGAGACTGATTGCCGATAGGCAAACTTCCATCAAAAGTCTACAAAGAGGTCTGGGCCTTGCATCTTGCTAGTCAGTAGAAAATCCTACTGCTTGTTTTCAGAGTTCGGCTCCGCGTGCAAGTGTGCAGACGACCGCCACTGGGTGCTGGGCACCGTGGAAGATTTGGCAGCCCTTAAACAAGACAATACCCAACGTAGCCAGAACACATTCAACAACAAAGCCTGGAGAGAAAAGGCAGATCGTAAATGGACACAATCCTTAGGGCCGCGGTTTGTCTTGTCCGGCAACTGCCTACGAATGATTTCGAATGTGTCAATCGTTATGCGCACTCCTCGAAGGTCAACAGCTGATTCTTTAGTTCCTTGTATCACCGGGCACTTTAGATGACCTTCTCGACGGCAAATGGCCCCCAGCGCTCTGATATTAGAGTTACGGAAAGGCTCTGCCCAGGATTTTTCTTGGCAGAGTCATCCCGCAGAGGATCCCGTCTGGCTGGCAGGCAGGTTTCAAATCTGAGTATTCTTCTCTCCTTGGAATGCAACTCAATGGCCTACTGCTTCATCTTCGAAGCTCTTCCAGACGATGGCAACCGAAGCAGCTTGTCATGATCCATGTTGAAGGACATTTAGTTTGGTACCTGGTACAAATAGTGGTCGGGTTGCTACCCGTAGGATTGCTGCAAGAGGGCAAACTGCCCACTCACAGTATCGTTCTGCGCCATTCAGCGCCTCCTGCGTGGAAGATTGCTCTCCAAGAACAAGGCACAACTAAGCACTACAACAAGAACGGGGCTGAAAGTCGTCCAAACACTTTGGAGAGCAGCGGTAAGCAGTCAGGAGGAGTGGCGCTTGAACAGTTCTTAAAAGAGTCAGCAATGTCAAGCTAGGTGAAGGGCTTTCGGTGCTGGTCCAAGGACGCCGCAGCTTCAAACGCAGCAATTGTCGAAAGACCAGAGGACGCCACACGGAAGGATGGAAGGAAGCAAAGGAAGCAAAGGAAGGCATGAACCATGAGATGGTTCTTTGAGAGTCAACTATCCTCCATGGCCGGCGTGCACTCAAGCCTCAGAACCCAGCATGCTCAGCCGCCCTGAACTTGCAGCACAGATCCATCGTGAGCAAACAGAAAGGCCTGATGAGAACGTCAGGGAATGCCAAGCATCGACACGCAAATTTAAACATGATTCCTCATACTACCTACGAGCTGCTGGCTGCCAGGAGGGGTGCCGGGGCCTTTCGGAAGCGCTGTCGGCGAGTCGCAAGGCCCCTTCAGCCCCCCAAGTCTTAAGGATACGTTTCTGATAGCACCAGTCAGCCCCTGCAAAGCATATGTGCGGCCCACAAAAGCAGCTCGTAGGCTTCCACACCCCCTGCGGCAGCAACCAGCCATCACTGCAAGAAATTCCACTTGAAAGCCCCTAGTCCCTGCACTTCGTATGATGATCGTAATATTACTTTTTCATTATATAAAAAATGAATACTGTCACTCTTAAATTAATATTACAATTAGAAAACGGCGTGATATTAATGGGCATGGGTTCAATATTCACGAAGATGTTAAGGAGACATAAGGAGACTATACTAGACTACAAGAGGAACCCCTATGTCTACTGCTAAGGCTGCTAAGGGTCCCTTAGAAGGCCAAATATTGACCGTAGATCATGTACAGTACTATCTTCGCTGATTTGCTTGTTCGGTGCTGGTCAACGCAGACTTTGATACAGGACTTCCTGCCACAGGGCTGTGTGATCGGAAATACTTCGGCCAGAAATACTTCCACCTGTACGTCCGCGGAAAAAATTCACCGAAGCTTAAACTGCCAGCCCAATCTTGAACGAAGCTTTGTGAAAATTGAAGTAACGAAGTTGCCTCCGCTTGCGTGACTGCCCTGGAAACCTGGAGATATATTGGATTGAGTTCACCTGGAAGCCAACCGTAGCTATCTAGCGCTGGCACGGCAAGTCATTCCTTTGCACCACCGCACAACCCCCTTGTTCGGCCCCAATCAAACCCACAAAAATACAAGCCGGTCAGCCTCACGAGATAAATTACGAGGCTTCATCTTTACTCTCGACTTCAAAAAACTACGCAGAGGGCCACTTTTGAAGAAACATCCGAACGTGGCTTGGCAAGTCAGCTTCAGATGCGGAAGGCTCTCACGCGGACAAAGGGCCAAGCCTGAAGTCTCACACAGATGTAGCAAAGTCACGATCTGCAAATACAGCTACTGCTGCTTCGGGCCCTCCACCACCACCGCCGTCACCACCCCTCATGACTGCTCCGGCCTCTAGCACCTGAGGTCTTCTGCTCAAGCAGCGGTCTTGCAGGCCTGGCCAATTGACCCAGACCCAAGACTATGGCCTGTAGCTGCAGCAAGCTACAGCTTCACATCCTTCGGAATAAATATGCATGCTACGCATTGCTATGTATTGCCACGCCTGGTCAATGGCAGCCAGCAGGACTGGACTTACGCCTCAGAAAAACATTGCACCTGACGCGAACTCAGCTTCGACCTAAGGCCAGGGCCAAGTTGGAAGTGCTGCTCTTGTGTCGACCCCACCTTGACGGCGAGTATATCCTGGCGGCAATTCAAGATGGAAGTACTGCAACTCCTGAGAAAATGTCGTGCCTGGTCCCCGGCATTCGTGTCAGGGAGCGATTCAAACGGAGCAGCTTTGACCTGACACCAGGTGCAGTGTGAAACCGGATGTGCCTCCACATCTCATGATATCTCATGCATACTTCAGGAACACCTAGGCGGCAAAAGCCAGCAAAAGCGGTGGAGGCCCCCACAGCCGTGGGTTCTCCAATCAAAAGGTTGGTCTCCGTCACGGGACTATTGCTCCTTGGCCAACGGCGTGCGGTGGTAAGAATGGAACAACGATGATACTGGGCACAAGGGTCGTCATTTGCTATTGCTGCGGAAGCAACGTGAAACCACCATATGGCTGATTAACGGACAACACCAAGAAGAAAGAAGAGCAGTAGATAAGCACCGTGCCCATCGTTGCTTAGGTTCCGTGCAAGCATAAGGCTTAGGCCACTTTGCACCACAAAAGCTAAGGCATTGTCAGGGTATCCATTGCAGGTTCCCCGAGCATGAACCAAGGTACCTGCAGCAAGGGTTGAGAGTTGTATCAACGCATGCTCAGTGAGTGATTAAGCAGCACCGAATTGGCAGAAACCACATGCTACCACATGAAGTCCCGACTGCTCAGGCAGGTGTGAGTGAAAATGTCTACCACAAAGCCCGGATCATCTTGGAAAGTCCATGGCCACATCCAGGCAACATCAAATACAGCTGAAGCCAGGTCTGAAGAAAACCCCTGCAACAATGCCCCGAAGCCGAATTGGCCCATCTTCACCTTGCCTCGACTGCAGGCCTTGGCCGTGGCCTGGGAGGCGAAGGCGGCACCTGTCACCAGAGCCACCAGTGCCACCGGTGCCACCGGTGCCACCAGTGCCACCAGTGCCACCAGCACTGAGCTGCCAAGACATTCAGAAGGCCTTGCGATTGGACTTCAGCAGCTCGCTCTTGGAAGCCACAGATGCTTCCATCGGAGCCTGAACAGTGCTATGCTGGTGCGCTTGATTGATGAGACTTGCTGACGTTCTGATCCTCAACGGCAGTTGTGACAGCAGAATGGCTTCGGAAATGGCAAACACAATCAGCTTACAAGCTCCCGCGCCATCTGCGCAGCGGGGTTGTTCTAAAACCTCGGCTCATACAATGGCATCTACAAAGGCATTGCACATTCCTGGAGCTAGTTAGCAGTCAGGTCTTCGCGTATCATTGCAGACTGGCTTCAGCTGAGGAATGCTGAGATGTGCTGAGCCCCGGACCCACAGGATCAGCTGCAAAAGTCAGGAAATTAAAACGGAAGATGGCTCCAAGCTGGCTATCACTAGATTCTGTCTTTCCAATCTTGTTGAGTACGATGCAGCTGCTGCGTTGTGTTGAACATGTTGTTGTCATGCATTCTCTTATGTAGAGCGCCGGTCATGTTGTTTGCTGCTAGTCTGGGGGTTCTGAGTTGTCAAGGAGTGATAGCAGTGGTTCATGCAGCCAGCATATGCCGCACCCGGCAGGAGCATCTACCAAAAACGCCGGCACTCTTGATCCAGGTAAGATGGACTGCAATGCAGAAAATTTCTCAAGTTAAAGGTTTCCTACCATCATAACAGTTTGTGGCCACAGCTGCGGTGCATGTCACACAGTCAGCCTGGATCAGAGCTCATTGCCAAGACCTGACAATGCCGCAAAGTCTACTCGCCATGACCCGGCCTAAACGCATCATTCGGTGACGTTCGAGTGTCCGGCCTCATTGATGACGGTCTTGGACAGCACTCCAGATTCAGCTTGTTTCCTCGGAGGGCTTGCCTGGCAAGAACTTAAGTCCACCACGTTGAGCCTGACTCAGAACTTTGACCCCAGTGCAGTCCCTTCTTGTTTCGTCAGGTTGCTGACTGCTTGCGCAGCTGTGTGCCATAGGGAGCCAAGGCCTCGCTGCAACTGCAGGGTTCAGAGTTTAGGGCTGAATCCCCTGACTTTTCTGGCATTTGAGGTTTCTGGCATTTGGGGTGGCCCAGAGTGACACGAGTGGCTTGCAGCAGGCTATGACCAAGCCCCCCTGCAGTCGCCACAAAGCCATCTTCTGCGAGATCTAGAGGAACCTGTCAGCATGCTCAGGATCGTGGCAGCCAGAAATGACACTCGTGCACAACAGCCCATGAACCCCGCTGCCAACGAGTAAGGCATTATTCAAGCTAGCTTTCAGAGTACCTCTGGATATGAACTCCCTGTGCATACGCAAGAGTCAGACTGTGCTGTTCGAATATTCCAGATTTCGTGACCTGATTGGAACGAGACTGACATGACATGACATCGGAACGATGAAGCCAGCAAATGAAAGGGCGTACATTGGTGCACTACATACTTCAATCTGCATCAGTCAACAATCCCCTCTTTCAGATACAATATCGTTCAGCCCTTGCGCAATCCACGATCCAAAAGACAAACTCATGCGCAAAGGGTAATCCGGTAATCCCCATGCATTCGCCCCAAAACGACTTCATCAAATGGGAGCCCCGTGTTCTTCTTCAAGCGGAACCCCCTCAAACTGAGCCTCCTTCTGCATGTTGCGAAGAGCACAAGCACCTGGAGTTGCAGATTGGCCAAGCCAAGTGCTTTGCGTTCACCGCAAGAGGAGCAGCAGCCTTTGGCCAGTTTCACCCACTCGATGCCCTGCTCAGTAAAGACCTCCGATGCAAGGCTTCAAGCCAAGCAAAATATGCAACTAGGATGTCTGCATGCACCAGGAGAACCTGCAGCATACTGGCAGCGCTTTTTCTCTTCTGGGAGCTCTCCTTTGGAGAGGCGCCTTCACGAAACTTTAGCACATGTAAGCTCTTTGAACTTAGAGTACCCTTCGTTACTTCGTTAAGCCGGGTTCTGCTTGCAAGTGCCGTGAGACGTGGCAGGCTACGACGGCTGACTCACGAAACCTCAGAAGCTTCCCAGCTAACGTGGTGCAACCCTCGACAGTCGCATCTGCTCCGGAACTGTGACTCTTCTCACTGGTCGTGACTGGTCAGCTTCTTCCCATCATCGCAACACACAAGCATTGTCATTGCGAACATGCAGCCAGCATCTCCCACTGACTCGCGAAGCCTTTCCCAAAACAATGGTGCGGCAACTGTCACATAATGCACCTCCTCAACAATGGAGGGACTGGGTCTATTCTAGGACCGCCCAAAGCATTTCTAAACCTAGGACGCGCTACATCGCCTACACTAGCGGCGACATGATGCTTATCCCTAAGTGGTCCTATCAAAGTCCACACCAATTTCTTCGACAAAGCCTTGGGACCATACGCAGGGACAGGCGCAGGAGGGAATCACAGCCCCTCTGCACACCAGGCCTACAGCAGCTCAGAATGTTTGAGGGCTCAGGGTTTGGGCATCAAAGCTTGAGGCGTTGGGTTTCTGAATTTGGGGATTAGGGGCTAGGGCAGTAAGGCGGCTAGGTTTTTAGGCTTGGAGTTTCCGGTTGAGGACTGGGGCAAGCGTGGAAAGATCAGCTGTCTGGGATGCTTAAGGAACTTCGAGGGGAACACAGGCGTTCCTTTATGTGTTTATACTGTGGATGTCAATGTTTACTTGCAGCAGGCATACACAGAAAACCGATCACACTACGAGGATGCGTTTTGGACATGTGCAGGGATGCGCAAATTACTGCCTTAGGTGCTCAGCAAGGTGTGAAACCAACAAAAATGCTCAGATGCTCAAGGACAGGACGGTGACACAAACACCTGCGAAAAACTTTTCGAGAGATGTAGCACAAGAGCATCTGGAAATTAGGATGCGGTTTGTTGACGCTCTACCAAGATCACTACAAAATCGTGTGAAAAGGATACAGGAAATACAGCACGTACGCGTTGTGGGATCCGATTCTAGGAAGGTCTTAGATTTGACGCTTGGGGCTGCTGCTGCTCTTTGATGTGGCATGAGGCTTTCCAAAAAACGATCTGCTCTCAAAACAAACGCAGGCAAAGCCGTCTGCCAAACTTATGGAGTAAATAGGGCAGAAGGCAGTGCCAGGGACCAGGCTTGCTCAGCATGCTGCGCGCAGCTAAGATGGCCTCGCGGAATCTCTCATCCCTACTGTCAAGGACGCTCCTATGCTCTAAAAATGGAATAAAATGTCACGAGTCACACACCCTATAGATTGTCTGCCACCAGCATCCTGCCTGCCGCGCATCCTCCAGAGCAACCGAAGATATAGGCAACGCCTTTGAGAGGAGATGCACCGCACCAGTCCTTTGAATGGCCGGGAGCCGAAGGGAAAGAAAGCCCTGCCTCTACGCCCGCACTGAGCGGAGGCAGCACCTCCACGGATGGACTCGACCTCGGAGTAAGCTAAGCGTCAGCAGGTGGAGAGTTCTCCAAAAATTTTGCAAACGGTAGTCAGGAGTGGTTCCGGGAATGCAGCGTCTTGCCCTGCAGCAGTTTGGACTTTCTCTTTCGGAATGGACCTGACGTTGACCAAGCTCAAGCAGATCTGCTGAAACTCATCTGTCTTCAAGTCCTCATAAACAAAAACGTAAGACAATCGGCTTCAGAGTTGGAGTCAAGAAGCTGGAACTTCTGTAGTGCCAATGTGGCAGACCGGCAGTGCCAACATGGCTACTCCAGTCGCCATAAAAGTCTCTTGCCTGCACAGCTGCATACAAACATCTAGGCAACATGACCCATTCCTCACACCACTTGGTTGTTCTTTGACAAGAACTTCCATGCAATGGAGCAGCCTCGGAGCCTTGCGAGTTGCGGCGTCGCCTCCGCAAGTCTGCAGGCTCACCTCAAATACTTGAAGCAGCCGCTGAAACATACCAAAAGGTTACCTAGACCCTGCGAATATGAGTCAAGCTGCCAGTCTCTGTTGGGAGCGTCGCGCTCGCACCAGGTCGCCACGCGAAATGCTCGTTCTCACTCAGCCCTGCCTTGGATTGAAACATGGTGGCCCATGCAGTGCATCCAAATTATGGCAGGAGACTCGTGCCTGCTTCAGATTCGGACCCATTAACGCCCACAAACGCCATGACATCAGTTCTCATCCAAACAAGGAGCGGCTGCCCGGAGCTTTTCGTTCTCTGCCAAGAGTTCTGTCAGATTCATGGCGGGAACCGGCGAGGGGGCCTGCATGCTTTCCATAGCCAGTTCAACTACTGCACTTTCCTCTTTAATGAAACGCTGACTGGCACAGCCCGACGACAGCGGCGCCCTCAGCTGCCTCCCTACGCTCGGCAGGCGCTGAGGGTGCTGAAGGCTCAGACGGCGTCAGCACGGCTTGAAGATCCGCATCAAGCGCCTCACAGAAGGGCAGACCAAGAATATGCTGCAGCCAATTGAAAGGAGGTTGGCTCTTACGCGCGCAGAGACAAGGGTGACTAATGCCTCGCCAACAAATGTCCCATGGAAGAATGTAAAATTGCGGCATACATAGACCTGCCTCACGAGACAGAGCGTCTGGCTCGGGAGCCTGAGTGTCCAGCTTGAAGCAGACACCGCAGGCACTGCGTCCAATTCACAAGTTTTGCCACTGCCACTTTGCAGGAAACGATGGGTCTAGAACACTTCAGCTTGCTATCGCACTCGGACGTTTCCTGTGCCACCCACCTCTGGCGTGACCTCCTTCTTTGGAGCATCCTCCTTGAAGAGATCCTCTTTCGTAAACTCTATGACCTCAAGCATGGCAAGTTCAACTGCTGTGCCATTTGCTGGAAAGGCCTCCCCCCAAGCCGGGCCATACGTAAGAAAAGCGACGGGTACACGTTGAACACCCCAAATATCCGTAAAGTGGCATGCCTCATCGTCACTCTCCGGCGGCGGCGGCGCTATCACATCTGACCAGGACGGTCTCCTGACCTCATACAATGGATGACAGACGAGAAACAGCTTCCCATGTCGCTCTTGCAACAGCCATGAAACTTTCCATGACTGTTCCAACTGAAACTCCTGAATTGGCTTAGCTTTGAAGAGCCTTAAGGGCCCTGCCATGGGTGCCCGCTGTGCGGCACCAGCCAGGCGATCCAGGCAGTCCGACTGCACAAAATGCAAACGGCCCTAATAAATGGCGTGAAAGAAAGGCAAGGCGTCTAATTATTCTTGGTATGGCAGTGCCGGACGCTAGTACTAGTAAACTTGAGTTCACACGATAAGTCCTGAGGATTATGGGTCCTTTGATTGTCACCCTGAAACAGCTTCTGCATCGAGATGGTTTCTAGCCCTGTCCTTCAGCGAGTCGTCCAGCAGCCTGGTCTGCACCACACGGTCGCGAAGGTGTTCAGGAGGAGGCACCTCTTGGCAGTGTGTTCCCCATGTAACTCATGGCTGCAGAAAACGCCTTATCTAAGTTTATAGTAGGAGGTCTTCAATCAACAACCGCGGTCAGGCCGCCTGTGTCTTGCGCGGCTTGCGTATTTGAGGCTGAAATGTGAGGACCTCGCTGAGAGATCGCTCCATTCCATTGCCTGGCTGGCTGGGAGTTCAAGGCATAGACTGCTGACTTGCTTGCATCTAAGACCCAGCACTGGACAATTGTGACTTAAGACTGCAGCCTTTCCCGCATATGCTCGTCTTCCACACTCCTGACAATGAACTTGCTAGTCTCGCCTGGTCGCTGTGAGGTGAGTCCGAGCAATTCCTGACCATCAAACACAATCAATCAACTTGAAGCAGTCTTCCCTTCTGCACCCTTGTGCACAGGCAGGTTAAATCTGCTCATTTCCTGACAGATCGCTACAGGATTACTGCCTGCGGGGATCTGCAGGCCGCTGGGAGAACCACACTTCGGATTGGTGCACCATGTCCGAAATCCTGACGCATTGCCGCGAAACATCAATACAAACCGAGACTTGTTCAGGAACAGAGCGCGCCGACAGAAACATCAACCGAGACGACTGTCCTGTGTCCTTGCCTTTTGCAAGTTCGAAGCCGATAACAAGTCGGAGGAGGTCATTGCAGAAGCACGCAGCTACCTGCACCCTTGCTTCATACTTGCAAGCTCGAACCTGCATCTGATCTCGACCAGTACATGTCAAACTATCACTAGGCCCACTAAAGGAGAACTTGTTTCTCAAAATTTAACGCTGAACTAACGCAGAAACGCAATGCTACATGTATCCCACATGATGCTAAGCTGTCAATCACTGAGCCATGTCGAAATTCGCAAAAAACTCCAGGCAGAAGATCCTAGTGAGCCTACACAGTGACTGGAAGGGTGCCCGTACTGAACGTGATGCGTCTGTGCGGCTGGCAGGGCAAGCAAAAACTGTTCGAGATTAAACGGTGAGCTGGGAGGCCGACATCAATGGCAGTGATCTCATCCCCTTTCTCCAAGAATGACACCTGCAACAGACACGTCCCAAACGCCAGCCTGATACTACCACAGCCAACAGAAAAGTGATGACTAAACGCGCATATATGGCAACAGATGCGCAGCAGCGGATATGCAAAAACTGCAGCACTGACAATTCCCAAGCAGCATGCGTCTTGCCACACATGCTATGGAAATCCATAAACCTGTTGCTGCCCTCATTAATATGACTAGATGACAAGATGGTTCCACGATGCTGACAGACCTTTTGAATGCCCTACCTTCCGTTTGTGCCAATGCAATTGACTGAAACACAATTTCTCATGACACAAACGTGGAGGCCCTGGCAAAATCCTGACACATTCCATACACGCACACACGTTCCCAGCTTAGACGTCCTGAAGCAGCATGTAATATATCTACATATCTTGCGCGGTACGACATGATCCGACTTCTGAAGATGATGTCGAAGCATGGTGTCTCTTTGCAAAAGTTTTGTTAATCAGCCAGGTTCTCTACACTAAGGGGGAGGACAAAGGGACACCTAGCTCAAGAAAGATGGACCAAACATTGCCGTAACAACTGTTACACATGCTTTCTCTGACGTTGAGTTGAAGGAGACTTTCTAGTTTTGGCTATGTACGGCCCACAAGAAAGGCTGAATGGCGGTTCTGACGGCGGCTCCAAAAACTAAACGGAGCTTGCAGCGTCGGAGTAAACCTAGGGCCTAGGGGTGTCTTCTTGTGTTTGTTATGGCCTAAGGCCAACGGATTATAGTATGCTGACTCAATGAAGAACCACATGAGATCCTGAAAGGATGAAGTTTGAGAGTTTTCTGGGTCTGACGGATGTCCTGTTTGTGGAGAAACCCGAAGCCCTGGACATGAAACCCTAAATTCGTTTGGCTTGGCAGTCTCGATCTCCCCAGCCAAAAATCTTGTTTTCGTTTGCATTTCATTGGACTGTCAAGCAAGACAAATGCAACACAAAGCGCCGTAAAACCACTGACTGAAGTGTTTCAATTGACCGGCCTTGTCGCTGTTTGTAGTCGGCTGCTTTCGGATAACAACCTGCAATTTGCCAGCGGCAGTGCCGCCATGCTGCCAAAGATCTTGCAACTGCGCTTCCAACACAAAATCGAAATGCTTGTGCTGCACTGACGTCTTGTCGTCGCCAAGGGACACCAGGCAACTCGGCCACAAAACCTGGCACCGTGACTCTTACAAACCCAATCGCAGCCCAATAAGTATGAATGTGGTACGTGTTGATTAGGAACTACGGCGGCTGCGCACGTGAAAGCGTTTTCCTTTGCAAATAACAATGGCGAACAATCGGAGTAATGCCTCACTACGAACAATTTTAAGTAATTTCCTGTTAACGTTCGTGATTAACACGCAGCAAAAACAACTCGGCTGGGCAAACGCACTCCAACCATGTTGGACGCTATGCGCTTAGCATGTCCTTGCAGAACCACACCAATTAAAAAACAAATATGATTTCGTACCTGCGTGCAGAATGGATTTGCGCATTTTTTGTTGCTGACTGCTGAACCATGGTCAATGCACATGTCTCGGCAAAAATGCTGACGAACCAGACAAATCCATACGGAATATGGATGCATGCATGCAATCTGAAACTGTAAACTTTGCCATACATCCGGATGCGAACTTCAAAAAAAACCTGCAAAATTCAAAACAAGTTTTGCCAGCAAAAACGGCATGATGTCCATGAAGCATTCTTGACAACAATTGCCAAACAGATCCTGTGAACCTTGACGCATTTTTTTCCCTTCAAGGACAGGAATTGGCGGTGGTTCCAAATCTATTGACCTGCGCTAAATAGACCATGTGTTAAAACTCAGAACATATGTCTCGACACATTTTGCTCAAATGACAACTCACATCGCTTGTTGTTTGCCTGTGGCACTGGTTCCAAGCGTTTGTGCATGTGGCCATGTCTGCCACGATCCACATGCCAAATGTACGGCTGTCTAAACTCTCAGAAAACGTGGACATGCCAACTTTTGCAGAATCGAAACAAAATCGAAACGCATCGAGCCCATCAACGCAAAGTGCAGAATCATTCATTCGGTATATATGTATGTCGATAAGACGGCAAACGTGGGTGCCATCCAGAAAATGCATGCTATCAACATGGAAAGGACTCAACAATTGCCTTCATCTTCAAAACCTATGGCCACATACGTGGAGTCCATGTAGACCTTCGCGCCACAGCCTCTACCACGGGACGGGCGGGCACTTCAATTGGATATACCCCAAGTGAGGTAAGAGAGAGTCAATAAAATGCCTGGAGACATGGTTCAATCATGCACAACAGCATTCAGAGCAAGTTCAGCAACAATCAATCACACCGGTTCAGTGACTCAATGTAACTCACAAGAGAGAACAAACACAAGATTTTTATTCCATACACGATTGACACAATGTTTGTTTGAGACTTAGTCACACAACTTTCCAACCACAGTCATATCGAGGAATCACGGTGGGACAAAAATTCTCTGGCCCGAACCACTGAGGAGGAGCTGCATCAACCAAGAGATGTCATGCCACACAAGACAAGCAGTTGAATGCAAGGAAAAAAATTTGAAAAGGTTTGGTTGGAAAAACATTGTTGATTTCAAAACCGAAATCCAATCTATGGAGGGCTTGACTTTCAAGGGCCCAGGAATTGGCTGGGCGTTGCTCCATCCACGAGCGCTAGCTCCCGCACTCGCTTGCACACGGCCTAGTGCCACAGACACCGGCACAGGGGGTCCACGGATCTGCGAGACAGATTTACAAGCCTTTAGAGAGCCCAGACAGGCAAAAATTCTCTGGCCCGAACCATTGAGGAGCTGCATCAACCAAGAGATGTCATGCTGCGCAAGACAATCAGTTGAATGCAAGGGAAATTTTTGAAAGGTTTGGTTGGAAAAACATTGTTGATTTCAAAACCGAAATCCAATCATGTTTAGAATAAGGTGTGCATCAATGGGAGTGAGCAAATCAGCAACTGTTGCAGTTCTCAATTCTGAGAACAAGGTTTCATCACTCAAGGGATGAGCTAAACAATTTGTGAGTTCAGGTTCAGAGAATCGCTCTTAGATAATGTGACTCAACAAGAGTCGTGCCAAGCCTCAAGTCTCTCTCAAACTCAAGCAATGGCAGAAGACAAGCAATCAAAAGCTGACCTGAATCAAACACAGAATCAACCAAGCCAAATACAACAGCATATCAATCCAAGCAAAAAAAATCCAACCAGACATCGATCATACAAAGTGCGCGGATCAGGAGCATCAATCCCACACAAACTGACGAAGTCAGATGCAATGGGTGCCTGAGTCAATAGCACATGAAATCACGCAGCTATCCTTAATAACTCAATCAACACTCTTGAGAGGGCAATCAACCAAACCTAGTCACTTGAAACAACCGAATGAATAGAATTGACCAAGAAAACAACGCAAACAATAATGCACGCACACCAAGAAAGGCAACTCAAACTCCACAACATGGATCAATGTACCGTGCAGGGCCTAACCGCTGAAGCCAGATTTGAGGGGTTTTTGCGCCCCTGAAACAAGTTCCAGGTCAAACCCCCGCCCCCCTATTTCAATGTTGCTATAGTCACGTCCAACGTGTAGCTGCT